TATCGGTTATACATGGCTGGCCAACAGCTTTTTAATGTTCCCGTTGTCCAATTCCTCCTGTAGGCAACAGTACTGCCCAATTTACTCTGAATAACTGAATCCTGTGTCCCCTCACGGTAAGAAAAAAATCCTGTTTTATTCTCCGTTTGTTATTTTAAAAAAAACTAGAGTTTTAAGGAAGTAATCCACTTCAGAATTGGGGCGGATTACTTCCTCAAAGGCCATTGTTTTGTAGCTGTAACATGCCATGCGTTTTGAATGCCTAACTGATGCACCTGCATTGTAGCACACCAGAATTTACAGCAACGTGCTCAGTAGAATGCTGCTTCAGAAGAAATAGAGCAGATCTGAGTTTTCTTTGCCTTGGCAGTCCGTTTACATAAATTGAGAAACATGAAGTAAACTTGCAGACTGATAACAGTAAAAGGACTCTTTAATATAGTAGCCTGGCAGGTTGTTTGTCAGCTGCTGGTTGGAGCCAAGCCCTGATGAAGGGACTTCTGCAGTGTACTCGGTGTACAGTTGTATACAATCTTCCTTCAGATTTTACATTCAAATAAAATTGTATCTGGACTTTATCATCACTCTGTGGTGCTTAAATTCTAAGCTCACCCGTCTCTGTTAAAGCTTTAGGTGATTGTGGAATCCCTTCATGATGCTGAACCCGCCCACCCAGTGTCCAGACACAATAGATTTTAGCATCTCCACAGTCTTGGACAATAAAAAGTTTAGTGATCCTGCACCATCCACCCACCCCTCAAGCATTTAAAGGGTTATTAAACTCTCAGCCATTTTTGCATATATTTACTGCTAGCAAGCAGTAGATATATGCAAAAACATTTTTAAAAAAGAGGTTTAAACTTACCTGTGAGGAATCTGACACCATGCCTGATGAATAGCACTGTCCAGTTCTGTGAGATTTGATGGTTGTGGAACCTGCTGCCTGATGGCTCTTTCAACTTCGTCCCACAAATGCTCAATTGGATTGAGATCTGGTGATTGTGGGGGCCACCTAAGCAAGGAAAATTCTCCCTCATGTTCTTGAAACCATTCCTGCACAATACGAGCACCGTGGCATGGCACATTGTCTTGTTGGAAGAAGCCATCTCCATTGGGATACGCCATCAACATGATCGGATGAACTTGATCAGCAACGATACTTTGGTATGTTGTGCTATTCAGACGTTGTTCCACACGAATTAAAGGGCCCAAATCATGCCAGGAAAACATGCCCCAAACCATAACACTGCCCCCACCAGCTTGAAGGGTTGTACTCATGCATGTGGGGTGCATACTTTCATGCTGTTTCCGCCAAATTCTCACTCTGCCATCTGCATGATGCAACTGGAAACGTGATTCATTGGGCCACATTACTTTTTTCCAATGCTCCACTGTCCAATCCTTGTGTTCCTGTGTGAATTAGAGACGCTTTATCTTGTTAACGGCAGACAGCAAAGGTGTTGGAACAGGCCTTCGTCTTCCATATCCCATACGATGCAGTGTACGGCGAACAGTGCGTTCAGAGATCATTTGAGAGGATCCCTGATTAAGATCTGCAGTCATTTGATGCACTGTTGCCCTTCTGTTGTCTTGTACCAGTCTTGCCACTCTCCATTCTGCCCTAACTGACTAGTCTCTGACGGCCACAATTCGCATGTTCAGACCCAGATTTTCGGCTGACAGTCCGGTCTTTAAACACTTTAACACCAGCTGCTCTTGAACATTTAATGAATTCTGCTGTTTTGCTGATACTCGCTCCATGGCTCCGAGCGCCAACAATCATCCCGCGTTCAAAGGCTGTTAAATCGCGTTGTTTCCCCCGTATCTTCAGAAACAAATCACTTCTACTGTCGTGGTAAACAACCTGCTTCCCTATTTATAATGGTCTGGCCCTCTAGCAACTTCAGCGCCAAATTATAGCTAATTTGCCTACAAACGTCAGGTGGTCATAATAATCTGGCCACTAATTGTATATCTCCATCCTTAAGTAAGTAAGTGGTCAAATCTCGACCTTTGCCACTCTGTAGGTCCTCCCGGGCAAAACTTACATAAACCTCCTGTGGGTAGATGAGAAGGAAGGGAGCAAATGAACAGTGTATAAACCGCAATGGGGATGGTGGGGTTGGTTACTTTGCCATGAATTTTGGTGAAGGTATAGGTGGTCTTAAATCTGCACATGTGTACTAGTTCATAAAATGTAGCTCCAGTCAGAATGTTTGTTTGTTTTTCTTTAATTTTGGATAGTGCAGGTTCCCCAATTACTGAGACTCTCCTTCAAACCTCTGCACAGGCTGATGACGGCACGGTTGTTGTTCCAGCAGCGCTGACACTCTGATCACATCTTCACATCCCTTTTCCCATCATGCAGCTAGAAGTAAAACATAAAATTCCTTTTGTGCTGCTGATGATTTTTAAGCAACTTGTCACCGAGCACAATTAGCTTCAGGGAGCAACTCCCCTCTAATCGATGACACGCTTCGACTTCCAGGCTTATTTATGAAATATGTAAGCAAAATGACTGACGTTAATCCATTTTCAATAAGATTCGCAGCTGCAAAGTGTAATTTGATATTGAACTCAGCAGGGTGAAATGCATTCAATTCAAAACGCATTTCTTCATCTCTCAAATCACGCCTGGCTTAACTTAAAGGAACGTTACAGCTTGATCGGGAGCCCTTTAGATTTATGTTAATGCCAGGGGTCTTACTTACATGCCCTGGGGCAAAACCTAAATGGCGCCACACTGATGCCGCCTACAACTGCTACTTAAAGGCAAACTGATGAAGCTGTGCCAAGACAGGGAAGGCAAAGAGTAACGGACTAGTCAGTGGTTTTGCCTGTGGTCTCCATTAAGCTGGTCTTTTCCCCATTACTGACTCACCATGCCTTGTTCTGCACTGTGTCTCTGTGTGGAGGTGGCCATCTTGGTAGAGGCAGGACTTTTCCTCCTGATGACTGGTGAGGGAATGGTCAAGAAGCAGCAGGAAAGGTGGAGGAAGCACAAATCCACAGAATGGATGAAGCTGAAGTAGGGAGATCCTTGCACTGCAGCTCCTGAGGTACAGCTTCCTCTCCAGCAAGGAGAACTGTGATTAGCACAGTAGTGGCATCACCAAATCTCACCCCAAATTGATGAGGCTAGCAGTCAGAGGCAGCAGTGCCTTATATTAGCCTTTCTCAACCAGTGTGCCATTGCACCGGGGTGCCTTCTATCTTCAGGGGTGCCTCAAAATGTTTGCTCAGCATCATGTCTTTCCATGTTGCAGGCAAGCTTCTGATGTGAAGGTTGGTTCTCATGTAAAGAGTGAGCTCCTAGTGTGAGAGGGGGCACTTTGATGTGAAGGAGGGGTCGTAATGTGAAATGGGGGACACTTTGAAGTAAAAGGAGGGAGCTCCTGATGTGAAAGGAACTCTCAATGTAAAGGGGTGCTCCTGATATAAAGGGTGACTCTAACGTGAAAGGGGAGATTCAGGTGTGAAGGAGGGCTCTAACATGATGGAGGAATCTGATTTAAAGGGGAACCCCATTTTTGTGTGTGTTTTTGCATTGGGTCCCCACTTCAATTCCATAGCAGGCCCCTATCTGGGATAACGGTCTAGTATGGATTTTGAAGAGGCCACACATTGTTTTTTACTTTTTTATTCTGGGGTGCCTTGAGATTTTGCATACTTTGAAAGGGCGCCGTGACTGTAAAAGGTTGAGAAGCTATTCCTTAGATGATCTCACACTGCATATATACAGCATAGGATACATAACAAGAGAGTCTAGGCACAGGGAGTGCTTTGCTTTCTTCAGAAGGAATTCAAGTTAATCTTCCAGGGTACTACTTAGGCACAGTTACCATCTCTACATCAATCCCTATAAGATAGCAAATCTTCCTTTTTCAATACAGCTCTGCTTTAAAGTAAAGCTTCAGCCAAACTTTTTCTGGTCTCAGCGATTATGGAGAAAGGTTTCAAAACCTGTTCTGGTTATTAGTTTTTTGATGCACTGTTAGTAATTTGATGCACTGTTCCCCTTCTGTTGTCTTGTACCCGTCTTGCCTCTCTCCGTTCTGCCCTAACATTGACTAGTCGCTGGCGGCCACAATTCGCACGTTCAGACCCAGATTTTCGGCTGACAGTCCAGTCTTTAAACACTTTAACAACAGCTGCTCTTGAACATGTAACGAATTCTGCTGTTTTGCTGATACTCGCTCCATGGCTCCGAGCGCCAACAATCATCCCACGTTCAAAGGCTGTTAAATCGCGTTGTTTCCCCAGATCTTCAGAAACAAATCACTTCTACTGTCGTGGTAAACAACCTGCTTCCCTATTTATAATGGTCTGGCCTCTAGCAACTTCAGCGCCAAATTATAACTAATTTGCCTACAAACGTCAGGTGGTCATAATAATCTGGCCACTCAGTGTTATATGTATTACAAGCAATTGTAACAGACATTTTTGTAAGACCCTTTTAATGTTTTTTTTAAACTATCAAATAAAACTATTTAAACTTCTCAATTGTGTCATTTGGTGCCTTAAAAACCCTTCTTCAATTTTTGTATATATCAAGAATTTGACACATTGCTTACTGATAATCAGCAGAAAGCACAGGAAGTTATCTTAATGAATTTCTGGCGGGAGGGACAGGTATTTTTTGCACTTCTCAAACAGAAGTAAAAGACTTTCGATCGTATATTTGACACACCAAATGGGAGGAAATAGGATAAATTAATTCTTGGGGTTTTCATAGAGAAAATCATCACTCTTCGGAGAGTTGTCACAATAACACTGATAAAAATGGGGTGTGGGGTTTATTTTCTATTTAATCAGACATAATTTATAAAGTGTACCCACAAATTTGAAGTGTTTGACCTGCCAGCATAGTTGTCATTCTCCTTAGCGGGCAAGTGAAAGTTTTTCCATGTAAAGTGATTTGCTGAGATTAGTTAGCATGTTTTTTTTTTGCATTTGCCCGGAGTTCTGCTTTAATTCTGATTTTCTTTTCTCCTCTCCAGGTTATTGTTGTGGGATTGCGATGATCGGAGTTACAGTTACTACGTCGAGGTGTCCCCCAACCAGCAGCAATGGACGATGGTCGCTGACCGGACAAAGGTCCCATGCAGGTGCGCTGACTTCCCATCATTTGTATTCCGACAACAGCTTGTCTTAAAGTGACACTCAGGAGCTAAATCTTAAAAATACATTCAAGTACCTGAACTATGAACAACAATGTATCTTATTTGTGTGTCACTCGGCTGTAGATCCTCCAATCATCTCTGAATTGGTGCTGACACGGTCCTTCCTTCTGGAGGGTGGCTACTTTTGTTCCCCATGGTCCCTGTGTGTGTTGTAAAGTAGCAACCGCTCCAAGATCACTCCATGATGGACTACAATCTCATGTTTAGTTTACTAATTGGTATTGACATTGTAGTCCATCACAGGAGAGAGCTTGAAGCTGGCTTCCCAGCCAATCAGCATCAAGCCAGCCAAACAGTATGGAGTCGGCCTCGCAGCCAATCATGAAGCCGGATTCCATGATGATTGGCCAGGAAGCCGACTTTCCAGCCAAACAGCATGGAGCTGGCTCGATGCATATTGGGAAGCCGGCAATCATCATAGAGACGGCTTGCTGGCTAATCAGCCAGCCGGGCGGCGAGTCATTGCCCGCCTCCCGGCTTCCTGATTGGCCGGGAAGCCAGCTCCATGTTTCCTCGCGGCCCTGCCAGTCAGAGGAAATCTCCCTCTGACTGGAAGTTCCGGTATCGGAGCATTTGGGCGCGTAAGAGTACGCGCCCAAATACTCAGTATGAGCACTGATACTAGTATTGGTGCATCCCTATTGTATATACAGTTTAACACGTCCAGTTTTATATTCTCTTTTGATTCTAAGCCCTGCTCCATAGAAGCTATGGTTGCAGTACTGCACGGATGATGGTCAAAAAGCCTAAAATAGCAGTTTGGAATAAATGGCTGTATAATCTTAGGATATATATTGCACTATACCCCGGCGGTTCTGGATGTTTATCTAAATGATGGGACATAAAAGAATAATTTGCATGGCTCCGCCCACTGTCCTGACATGAGGAATAATCCTTATATTTTGGGATATGTGGTAGAATGAGATATGTAGACGGCTTTGCTGTGCTACTCACTGATTGGGTTGGGGGACTTTTTGAAGACCCTTCTCACTATTGCCTGAGGACACCTTCATGTCTCCTGTCACTCAGTGCTTCCTTGCACCTTACATAATCGGTCCCTGGTATCTCTAAGTTGACGTGTCTAGAATATCAGACATGAGAAGAAGACAAATAAAATATGACAGTAGTGTCTGAATGGGGCGAGTAGTAGAGATCTGCATCACTGGTAGTGTCCAAATGGGAGATTTCAGTTCGGGCCGATGACTGGTCGGCTCAGTCTTCCACCAGCTGTATACAGTATATCCCACAGCAGTATCACCCGGTTCCCAGGTCTGTTGTCAATGTGGAGTCTCACTCTTCTTGCTGCATATATGTTGAGGCCTCCTGCACACAGCTCCTAGGAAGCTGGTGGTAAAAGTCTGGGCCTAGTGGGGAGATCTATGCACTGGAAATGTCTGTGAAATGTCCGAAAACTCCTGCCGCAGTGTCAGTTTAGCCCCCCTGTCCCCCATCCGTCCCTCACTTTGAATTGCGTCATGTACCCTTCACATCGCTTTGTTCTTCCTCCTCGGTTGGACATCACTTAGCTCTTATTAGACGATGTTTAATTCCAGCGCGGCGGAGAGCACGCCGATAAAGGTTACGTTGGCTTGATGGGCGCCGGCTGATGTCACGGTGACAGTAAAGAACCGCTTGTCAAAACCCAGGAAAAGAGGAACTTGTTATTCTGCTCTCTGGGCTGATGTAGGGAAAGCGTCATCTGTATTAATAATTCACTCGCCAGGAGCCTGCGCCGAGCACCGGCTGTCCGCAAATCCGGAGGAGAACGCCATCTCGCTGCCTCCCTAGTAGAAGGCAATTAGTGTTATGCGCGCTGATGTCATTGTCATCCCTTTAAATGTCGGGCTGGATTTATTTCTCCCCGCACGTGAAAAGACAATACCACAAAGTCTCTCCTTCCCTCGCCTTTGTTTCCCCTTAAAGGGCAAACGTCGATGATAAGTTTTTCAGGGAAGGCTTATCGCTGTAAGGTCTTTCAGCAGAAGAAACGGTCCGTCTGGGCTGTAAATCCCGAGTCGGACGGTAATTAGCGCGGTGTCCCTCTGTGGGATAACCTTTCCTTTGTGGCGGGCGACGGCCGTTGCTGTGAAGGTGGATAAATGAACGTCCGTGGCATGATGAGTATATCGCTGGAGACTCTCTGCAGGGTTCAGATTTTCTGTCCCGGAGATGCTTAATATTCAGAGTAATAAAAGTCTGCAACTTTTCTGTCACTACTGTTAAAGGGTATCTCTGGTCAAAAATTAAACCTACATTTATATTTCTATATTGAATTTCCAGAAGTTCTGTCCCATTCCTAATAACCACATCCATCTAGAAGTTTCTAAAATCATTAATAGAAGATGCCCCTAGGAAGGACTTCCTCAATGCACTGACACCATTTCACTCAGTCCTGTAAATATGAACTTCCTGGTGTCACCGCTCACACAGAGCCTGCCGTCTAAACTACAACTCAACGTCTGAACCATGTAACCTTATCATTGCTTGCTGGAAGCAATGCATTATAGTAGGGATGCACCGATACTGGTTTTTCGGTATCGGGTACGAGTACCGATATCTTTTTTTTTGGTACTGATAGCGGAAGTCCCATTAAGGAAGCCACGCTGCATGAAATGACTCGCCACCTGGCTTCCTGATTAGACGAGAAGCCGGGCAGCGTGTAATGACTCGCTGCCCGGCTTCGCCATTAGCATGGAGCCAACTTTCTGGCCGATCAGGAAGCCGTGCGCCGTGTAATGACTCCGTGTTCCTCATTGGCCAGGAAGCCAGCTCCATACTCCCTAGTCATGAGATGATGAGGAAGCATGAAGCCGGCTTCCCGGCCAATCGTTACACGGCGCCCGGCTTTCTGATTGGCCAGTTTGCCAACCAATCAGGAAGCCGGGCAGCGTGTAATGACTGTAAGACTTGGCACGCCTTTTGTTTTGCTAAACCTGGAATGTTTTAGCGGATTTAAATTGAGAGTCTGGCTGGGCTTTAACAATTGTAGTTTTGTGGTAGTGGCATGGCCAGTGCCCTTGGTATTATGGTACAGATACAGTTAAAGTCAAATTGAACATTCCTGGTGCTTCAAAACAAAAGGAGTTCATTGTGGTTCAGTTTGCTTTCTTTCTAAAGGCCACGCCCTGAGTGGAAAAGCCAGTCCCCTGCCAGCAGTTACAAAGTTGTCTTGGAACAACTTCCTTTGTTGGGAAGCCGGGATCTCTCTGCAGAGGTGCGACACATCCCCTGTTGAATCAGAGCTAGAAATCTCCAATCAATAGGGAGCATTGGCTTTCCTGATTGCAGATCTATTGGTCTGCGGCTAGGTTCAGACCTGAGGGACACCAGGGACGCACGTCCCTGGACCGCGTGATCATGTACTAGTGCACACAGCAGTTGCCGCACGGCCCCATTGATTTCAATGGGGTTACATCCGCGGAGCAATCGCTAAAAAAAGGTACAAGTACCACGATCGCGTGGTCCTGGGATAGATCCCAATAGATCCGCAATATAAAGCTCGTGTTTTTGCGACACACGACGCACAGCTTTTTGAAGCCGCGATCGTGTTCAATTGCACGGGCGGAATCGCGGCTTGAAACCGCGCGATCCGCCCAGCACGATTGGGGTGCCATTAGAAAATAATGGCACCTCCAGCGTGATCGGTTGTGGTAGGCGACCCCGTGACCGTCTGGCAATCCGTGTGGTTTTGTGCACGATTGCCGCGTGGTCAGGAGTTGCCCAGGTGTGAACCAAGCTTCACTCAGTAGGGCCATGTCAGCCCTCTGCAGAGAGACCGCTGCTTCCCCACGGAGAGCAAGGGTTCTGTTCTGCCGCAGCTAGCAGGCTTTTGTACTTAGCTGGTTTAGAAAGAAATCAAACTGTGCTGATTTGTACATTGGGTTATACTGGCACAGACTCCGTTATTGCTCACAGCATCGCCGACCTGACTGATAACTAGTCTGTGATACTCGGGGTCATGTGACTCCGTCCCGGCCGGGCATTGCGCAGACACAAGGCAGCAGATAGATCTTGCCTCTTAATTGCACTATGCTCCTGACTGGAGAGATAAGCGAGGACAGGAACACCGGGAGATAGAAATGTTCTTTATTCATTGTGCTATATAAAGATTTTCTAATTATAAAGTTTAATTAAGTTCATTATTTTTTCTGCTTCAGATTAAATGAATATGAAATATTCTGCGACTTTCCCTGAACTTTTCCCAATTACCTTCCTCTTCATGTTTCTCATGTATGCCTAATTCATCAGCCGGTCTCCTCTACACGCATCTGTACACAGACAAAAGACAGACTTTCACTTGGTATTAAATGTTTGGTAAAGGGGACCTGTCCTGCCTGTCAGAGGGGTGACAGCGGTGCTGACCCTAACACCTAGGGTTACCACCTGTCCAGGATTCACCCGGACAGTTCGGGTTTTGAATGCTGTGTCTGGGTTTCATGGCACCAGGAACCCGGACACAAGATGTCAGGCAGACAGGGGCAACCAATATTAAGATAGGGGCTACTGGCCCCCCACTGAAAATCTTCTCAACTGTGTTATTTGCATATTAATGGATGGTGCCCATTACATATGAATAAGCCACGACTCATTCTCCCCAAAAAATATGTCCGCGTGTCGCTAGAGTGTTCGGGTTTCGCTTTAAGAAAAAATGGCAACCCTACTAACACCACATCCCTATAACCAGGGAACCGCAAGTATACAAATACCAGCCTGGATTTTACACTACAACCCCGAATTATGGGATGCAACTGTGTCACCAGGGGTGTGGACATTTTTTTTAAAGAGCTACTTGCCCACGGGCTAAAGCGGGGGCCCAATCTACTTGTCTCTCATTAAAATCTACTTATACCGATACAAAAAAATTGTTATAATCAAAACCGTATTTAACTGTGCTAAGAAGCGCTTGTCATTGGTCAGCTTGGTCA